ACATGAAATTTGTTGTTATTCAACGAATAGTGAGCTTTCTGAAGCATACAGTATTCTCAGAGGAACATAAGCCATACACCAAATGACACATAATGAAGCATCATATCATTGAAGATAATGGTAGTAGAAAAAGCATTAACATGCATAAAACGACACTGCTGAATAGAACTTTCCAAACAGATTCAGGGAAATTATATAGCAGAAAGAAAAGACACACAAACAGACAGACAGACACATGGATATATATATAGTTGAAAGATTAAAAACATCCTTGAGAATTTGATACCATAAAATAGTGAAAGACATTTTCTACCGAGGTGTACAAAGAATCAGGAAACACAGAAAGAGCACGGCAATCGCCATTACTGAAGTAAGATAAGAATATATTCTATCAAACTGTACAAAGAATCAGAATATATAACAGCAAGACATACATATATATATATATATTGTTTGTTTGAAGTTAAGCACAAAGTTTCTAGAAGTTCTGATATAAATAACAATTCCATATTGCATTCTTCTAAAGAAGCAAAAATAAAAGCAATCTAATTTTAAAGAAGTTTATGTGGAATCTGTCGCTAATGAGACTTGTAAGTCATCTTGTCTACGTGACTTAGTCTAATAAGTCGAATGTGTTTGAAAGTAAAATGTCACTGACTATCATGGACTGAATCACCGAGTATAGTTTTAAAAGGATAGAGAAATCAACTCTTTTAATCACGGGAAAAATAAAAGTAAGATGTTCTGATGCGTGTTCATTAGGCTTGTAACCTTTTAACTCTACTAGTTACACGTACTTTTTCAGATGAATTCACTGTAAAAATTGAAGTGTTACTGACTACAGCATACACGAACACCAGTGTAGCACGTGGTTTGTGTTCCCTGGTCACTTCAAAGAAAGAAAGAGACGCCTGTTCAAGGACTATTTCCCACTCCATTCACCCACTCTTGTCGTTTCCTTAAAGAAACCAGAAACCTATAAAGTTTTTTTTTTTTTTATAATCTCTACCGCGTTCTGGTGTTTGGACACCATATAAACGTCACTATGTCACGTGAGAAATGTAACGTCAGATTAGATAAAAACATAACAGGATGGAATAGAAAAATAGCCTGAAAATTAATTACCCAATAAATCTGATAATTATAGAGATAGAAGGGTGTTTTTTATAATTTTCGAATAGAAACCTTGATCAAAATTGAAGATAATTCATCTTAAAAAGTTATGGTTGTACTTCATTTCCTTGGCGACATTTCAAACAAACGCTCTTTTTAAAGCCAGAAAATAAAACACAACCATATTTTGTTTAAGGTGATTTATCTCCAAAAATCTAATTTACATATATATATATATGTATTAGCAATGAGTAGGGCCTCGATATTTATGTTTTTGTGAATATTTTATACAATAATTAGAATTATAAACGTATAATAGGTTTCAAATACTTGATGAATAAGTTATTTTTTTAACTAAAAAAATAACTCATCTTTATACTTGGACTAGGTTAAAATAAAAGATAAACAGGTTAAATGTGGTTTGACAAAAGCCTATAACTATGACCAGCTAAAATCACGGTCAACCGTATCTTTATATATATTATTCCTTTAATTGAGTTCCAGTTTGAGCCATCTTCCTTTACGTGTGTATGTGTGGGTTAAAGATGTACCGAAACACCAACCTAAATGAAATTTATGAATGTATCTTTTGTTTTGAAATAAATGTGTTTGTTTGTTGGTAATTAAGCACAAAGCTACACAATGGGCTATCTGTTCTCTGCCCACCACGGGTATCGAAACCCGGATTCTAGCTTTGTAAGTCCGGATAAATGTGTGAATGATTTGTTGACTCCAATAGAAAATCTGTTCCCTGGGAGCCGGTTTACGTAACTCTTACTAACTTAACCCCTCAAATTAGCAATAACGATAAAAATAAAAAAAGACTTGAAACATTTAGAACAAAATTGTAGCCTCTTGATTTTCAGGATTTCGGTTAAATTTGCTTCACCAAAATAAGCTATCTCCCGGTTACAAGCTGCGTATAGTAACAATGAGAAATGCTACGTTAATTTAAACTTTGTACTAAATGTTTTTGGTAATTGAACTGGAGCAAAACAAGAACAGTCACTGTCTAGCGGGCCTTAACCTTTCGAAGCTCGTTGTACACTAAGTGTAAAGATACCTTAATTTTATTTTTACATTAGTTCCTGCGTTATTGAAAGAGGAGGAGGGCGCCTTATCTTATTTTTAGAAGTGTTCAGAAGTAATTTAACCTATTAGAAAGCCTTCTATGCTATCATATTAAAGTTGTGGCTGAGATTGCTTTAATTGTTGTGTTTGCTTTGTTCTTACTGCTTCGTGTTTAAAAATCAATTTATCTTAAATACTTTCCCTATGTTTGTTTTCTGAACACGTGATATTATAAGCCACTGTATATAGACACAAAAAATATATTAAAAAAACCGCACAGAAGATCTATGACAAAGTTTAAGAAAAAAAACAACACTAAATACTATGGTAATAAAATCTAGAAAATTATGATCTGTCATAACGTTTCGGGCCCAAACGTTTAGGCCCGAAACGTTGTGTCAAATTAAACTTTTATTAGATGTTATTACCATCGTATCTAGTGTTTTGTTTCTTTCTTAAACATTATCAATCACTGCCAACGTGATGTCCCTTGGTTGACAGTAAATTTTATTGTAATCTTTAAAAAACAGTTTTTGTATCTATTCTGATCAATGAATAGGGTTACGTATAACTTGACTCCAAAAAGCAGAACAAAAGCTCCTAAAGAGAAGTTGTTGAAATTATTTTCCTGTGCTCACATATACTACAATATAATTCAATGCTCGAGTTTTGTCCCGCTGTATTTATTTTTACTGACTTTTTTTCCCACCATCACCAGGTAATCAACCACAGTATCCATACGTTACAATAGCTCCTGTACTTAGTCTATAAGTGCATTTTTTAAAAGCTACAAATTAATTAAAATTGAATTTATCTTTCAACTTTATCATCTGTTTTAACACTGGGTCTCTCTGAACCAGAGTTACAGGGATCGGATTTATCCAACTTCGGCGAATTTCATATAAGATGTAATATACGATATGACGATTATAGCTTCTAAATAGGACAAACAATGACCGAATTATGACTGACCACAACATCATCAGAAACCCATAGTTAATGATAGTACTTCTTAATGTAAAACTGACGGGTCCACTGTGTGAACCTTCTTCTTCGCCCGTCATTACATCTGTGTTTCTGACCCGAGCCCAATAGATCTTCAGCAGAAAGCTCCACGCCCTGAAACTTTGTCACCTTCGGCATTTCATCATCAGTCACTATTATTCCTTCGATTACATGCACGTGCAAGGTTCTTAAATATTCAACTTTGCAACCTATGCGAACACGATGTACTTTTTGATAACCATTGTTAAGGCAAATCCATCTATCAAGCCCAAAGATGCTTTAGCGGCACTAAAAAATAGGTTTAGTACTGACAAGGACAGTAGTGATAGTAGTAGCAGCCTTCAGACGATCAAGAGCAAGGTGTCCTAATTCAAACAGACAGTGAAGAAAGGTCGCATAATTTGATTTGAAAATAGAAAAGAAAGGAGATAATCATTATTGGTAAGGTTGTGCGGCCACTCCGAAACCCTGTGTTTCTTTGACTGCTCATAACTACAGACCTAAATAAGTTACCATCATATGGAGACAGCAGATTCCAGACTTTCCAGTGGTGTATGGGAACATCTCCAATAAATAATTATGGAATTTCTTCTTCCTTGTCCTGCCACCTAAAAAAAACTACTTCGCCTCTGTTGTGTTAAACCATGGCTGTACAAATGAAAATTGGGCGTCGATCGACATCAATAACAACAAAGGGTAGTAGAAGTCGATATAAAAGGTAGTGGTTCCCAACCGTTGACACACAGGAACACCCAGTGAAAAAAAAAAAAAAGTTTTGAGAAAAGTTAAAGTTTCGTGAAATGTATAACTGGTACATGTGGTAGGAGTAGGTAAAAAAGCATTATTTCTTTTTGAGTTCTTTGTGAAATACGCGTGCCTCATAACTTTCCCTTCAAAGCTTTTTGGAGGAAGAACCTTCACTGGGAAACAACACTATATATATAGATTGATATACTGCTAATGGTCCGTAAGGTTTTTACACTGCCAGCCGTGGAGAGATAAAGGTTGGGAACGACTGATAAATGGTTACTTAAACACAAAATAACAAGTTATTGCAAGAAAAATTGGACAAAAAAACATCACCAGCAATAGTTCCACTACTGCAAACTTCTGCTTGTATTTGTATATAAATACGAGACTTTGTAGAATTATACACGGACTTTTCTCTACGTTCAAATACTTTTATTTGCAAGCTTTCGGCCCTTTTACGGGAGCCTTCATCGGGCAACATTATATAAACATTTATTTGTAGATAATAAGCAGTATTCTGATTGTAAATGTACGTATATAGAAAACGTTAATACTTAGGGTTAATCATAAATGAAGTTTTTAGTTGGTCTATACATATAAATAGGATTTGCAATAAATTAAGACCTATTACTGTTGCCCGATGAAGGCTCCAGTAAGAGGGCCGAAAGCTCGCAAATAAAAGTATTTTAACGTAGAGAAAAGTCCGTGTATAATTCTAAATGTTAATTTATTTATGTTATTAGTTTTAAAATACAATTATATATGAGAATTGTCGGATGGCGTAACAAATGAAGTGAAGTTTATAACTTTATTACCTTTTCTTAAATACTGTTGCCTGTATTGAATTAAGACCTACTACTGTTGCCTGTCTTGTGCAACGATTGTGTTAAACTAGGCTATTCAACATTTTTATGGGCGAATTGGATAAAATTAACTTAACGAATAAAGGAGTCGGTTAGAAATTGCCTCGATAATACAAGAAAAAAAAAGCCCCTTAGAAACAATGGCGAAATTTTGTAAAAAAAATAGAAATAATAAAATGAATGCAAAACTAAACTTACTAATTCGTAATTCGCCGGGGGTTCACATGACGCTATTACCTATGTAAAAAGAAAAACAAAAATAATTTACGTCAGAGTTTTCTGTATAATCTAACATAAGGAATTTTTAAACTAGTCTAAAACTATATGTTTTTTAACAATAAAAATAACTTCACAAAATTTTAATTTTAACTTCAACAAATATATTGTTTAACTAATTCCTTTTTTATTTGTGTATATATATATATACGTGTGTGTGTGTGTGTGTGTGTATTGTATCTGCAACAATATAGTTGTGGTTGTAAGTATTGAACTATACGTCCGCAGTCATATATTTCAGTTATTAATTTTATCTACAAAACTATACAAACACTAATGTATCCTGAACTTTTCGGATATTTGAATATTATACAGTTAAACACAACAATGTCATAATAATTATTATAATTAATCTATAGATATCTATTATATTTGTTGTTGTCTTTTTACATCACATGTGAAACAGGTATTGCCAGGAATTGTGGGAAGGTCAGCTTACACAGTTATAGCTACACTCGGTAAACTTTGGTATCTTTCTTGAAGTTGATTCCTAGTGGTTCTTAATTTGGAACTAATACACTAGAGGGAAGGCTGATCGAATTGTGTGATGTGACCGTCAGTCTAATAGTGCACACGCGGATCCAAAGTGCAAAGTACTGTTTTGTTATGTTTTTCGTTGTTGCTGTTTTTTGCGGTAGGGGAACTCGAACCATGAATCTTCAAATTCATAATACGGGCATAGTACAAGGCCTTGCATGGTACAATGTGTGGAAATCAGAAATGAAGTGTAAAATACAGAGCACATGGGTAAAATATACATATACGTTGGCCTATATTTAAATAAATAAATATATATATA